TCTCCTGTGGAATTCACATTCCCTTCTTAATATTGAGGGGATTTCCAGGTACCTATATGTGACCATTTTTAAAGTTATTTTATTAAAAGAGAAAAGATCTGTGATTTGAATTAGAATAAAGGCTGTGCAAGTGATTATACTTTTTGTTCTCCTTTAGTAAATAAAAGATAAATCGTGTTAAACACAAAGAATATATATGCTTATCTTCCATATTCCATTCCATATTCCATTCTTATAATTAGTTAAATACAGTAGAGCTCTCCCTGGTAGTTCAACGGGTTAAAGCACTGCATTATGTAGCTCTCTGAAGCCACTGCAGCATGAGTTCAATCCGGAGCCAGGGAGCTGACCCACATGGCATGGCAGACCTCTTCTCACCCGCCCGCTGCTCCCCTCAGCAGTGTACTTTGTCGATTTGCCTGTTCTGCTCCCCACTCTGTCTCTGGTGAATCCTCTCACTGCCCCTGCACCTCTGGCTTTTACCCCAGTTCTGTAAGCATAAATAAATAAATAAATACACCTTAAAAAAAATATTTACAGCAGCAGAAGCAACATCCCTCAACTTCCGACACTTCCAGGTGAACTAATACAAGTTTAATGTCACAAAACCTTATTTTTTAAAAATTCATTAAGCTTAAGATACTAAGGTTGGCTACCATGTAAACAAAAATGAAACTTCTATCTTCTCTTTTTGGAATAATTAAACTAATTAAGAATTCTGATAATTAACCAAGGGAATTTAACATTATTCCACTCCTTTAATGTTGCCCCGAAATGGCTGTTTTTGACCTTTGCTGTTTTTATACTCCAAAGGAAACTTACCAGATTGCAGATATACAAATGATATCCACAGGCAGAAGTGAAGATTATTTTTAGAAAAACCAGTCTCAAGTGAAAAAACAGCCTTTGAAATGTTCACGAAGTATTACACATGCTTAACCCTTAGTGAGAAAGTAAGTCATTCTTCATTTCTCATTTATTCCCTATCATATTGAGACCACACACTATGTAAGTTTCTTTCACCAGATGTCAAAATGAAATCATGTGAGATGTTTCAGAGCTACATTAAGGCCATGAATCCCAAGACAATGAGCCACACAACAATCATTGTCAACAGGCGAGCTCCAACAAAATCTGAGTTTAGATTTGGTTTTATGTTAAGGGAAGTAATTTTCTCTGGTTTTTAATAATGCATAAGAAACAGAAATCACAGCATTTCAACTCAATATCCACCTACAAAAAGTCCAAAGGAGTCAAAGTCTCCCCCCACCCATTCATCCTCCACCGACATTTTGAAAATAAAGGGAACAAATAGAAATGAAGAAAGAGTGAAAAAGAAAACACAAATGACTTAAGTAATTTCACATTCTTATTAAACATCACTGAGATTGAATTTGATCCATCATGCTGACTAGTTCTCACCACTAAGATCTTGCAAGGAAACTGGGTGTACATGTTTTCACCTTCCCGGGTTGATCTAGAACTATAAGGGTGAACTATGTATGAATGAGTGTATGTGCTTCAATTCCATTTTATAAACACAGACACAGGACAATTCTCATCATTGGGAATAGTCTTTGGAGTCCAGTCATGCAAAGAAGCAGGCAAATGCAAGTCAGGTCTCATTGCAAGATAAACATGGCAAGGTGAACAGCTTAATGCTAGATAAGGGTTGGGAGATTCTTTTCTACTAGAATATACTGGCCATTGGTCCCACATAATAAAAGTTAGATATACAGGATTCATATATAAAAAGAAGCCTTCCATTTCCATGTGACTGAGGAAATGGATCAAAGTGAACCATTTCAGACAGTGAAAGAACTAAGTGGCAAAAAAGAAAAAAATCTTATATTTCAATTACATGAAAACAACTGATACTACTATTTACATTGTAACTTGTTTGCTGCTTTTACAGAAAGGGGGTTCCCTGCTTGGCTAGATGGTATCTGTAAAATGTTGGACTCTCACAACTTTGTGTGTGTGTGGATGAAAGGGTTGTGAATAGGAAGAGGAATTCCTCTTCAGATCCAAATTCTGTGCATTGAAGATTCTTGGGATAATTTTATTGTTATCTCTGAGTTGTACATGATAAGTTTTTCTGTAAATTTGGCTGATAATATTCTTAGAGCATAGTTTTTTCAAGACTTCTTTTCAAGGTAAAGACAAATAAGAAAAATAGATTTTGTGTAATTTATATTTTGCAGTGAATATTTAAAATTTAAACATCAATTTTGCTTTTGGTTTCCCCACCTCCCACCCATAACAGGTCCTAAAAAGGTTTATTTTTTTCTCATCTATTCTACTTGCCGATTCACCAGTCAGCTGCTATCAGCATTCTTAGGTAAAACTTTTCTAGTAGTGATAATAGATTGAGAAGAACACAACTTTTCAACCCTCAATTAAATAGCTTACTTTAATTGGAGGGATTTGCGCAGCCACAGAGTCACCTGTGGGGTACATCCTTACAAAGTTCAAGCATCAGATTCTTGAAGATGCAAGATTACTGCCACTTTTTATTCCATAAGAAGAAATTATCTTTTTGAAATGTTCTCCCTCATCTCCTTTTAAAAATATACACACTGGCCCACAAAATACATACTAATATGTGAAAGGAATGTGATGTCACCAAGTTACCCCAACAATGAATCTCTCCCGAACGTGCTACATGTGGGTACAATGAGCATACTCTGGAACATTTCATTCAGGATCACTGTGTAAACAATGACCTTTTAGGCAGTAACAGGTTGGCTTCTCACAGGGGTGACTTCAAAAGAGCACCTGGCCACAGGCTTCACTTTTTCCACGAATGTAATGCAGGTGTCTTGAGACTTCACTAACTGAAAAGCAAGAGAATCCTTTGGAAGTGACAGTGATCATATAAGGAGAGATTAGTGTGTGTGTGTGTGTGTGTGTGTGTGTGTGTTGTTTTAGAAAACAAAAAGACTCAAAGTATAATATATTCTATGAAACTGAGACTATAATCACCATGTACAGGATTGGAGGACTTTTGAAATGAGGATTCTCTGTATACCATCTCATCTCTCCTCTTGCCTGATCGCCGAGTAAAATAAATCCCATAAGCAGTCAAGAAGCGAAAATCTTTGCTCTATTTGCATAATACTTCAATCTGAGATACGTGCTCCACTTTTTTTTTAGTTCATAAAGGAGATCTGGCTAAAATAATCAACTCCCAAGAGCTATACAACAGGGAAGATTAAACCAGTAGAGTATAGGGAAGGCAGCATTAGTAAGGTGGAGGCATTGCTTAGTTCTTGCCTGGTTTAATCTAAGCAAAATATAAATAACTAAATCACCACTTGTGCAAATATGAAAGCCAGTCTACCTGTCAAGCACTTCTAAAATGCTGCCTGGAGATTTTTTTTTTTTTCTGTTTTGAAGTCATTTTGTGGTGATGAAATTCTTCTTGCTACCCACTTTCTTTCAGACAGCTGAGTTCTCTCTGCACTTAATCCCAAGTGGCAGAAAGCCAAAAGTGGAGGGAACACAGGTATTACACTGAGAAGAATATGGGAAAAGAGATAAATATAGAATAAGGGATACAGAGAAGAGGAGATTTTTAAAAGGAATGGGGGTATGGTAGAAAAGAGAGCATATGTGACCCAGAGGCATTTTAAGATCAGGTTGTCTGCAATATTAACCCAAAAAAAAAATGGTAGTAAGTTGGAAAATGGGCCACTTTATTGCTAGGGGAAGGTTGCAGTAATGGGAGTTCTCCCCATTTTGAACAAATAATCCCTTGTCTTGAATCTCACCGTGTGAAGCAATCTCATCAACAGCAGCATTGCTGTCCTGGGATGGTAGGGGGTGACTCTATTGCTTGAAAGAAGACAAAGCTTCCCTTTTGTTGAATTTAAGGCAGTTTTCAGACTATTGGCATTCTTTTTTGCTCTGTTGTAAGGAATTCCATTTACCAGTCATTTCACACTCATCAACCACCTACTTCAGGCATCTCACTTCTTCAGGTGAAATATCACCACATTGGTGAGCAGCAACATGGTCAGAGTGCAAATAACTGTGATGGATACTCCACCAAAGTGATTAAGAAGAGAAGCTTTGACCTGGTCCCTATTATTGCTGAGAAGTCACCCTCATATTGCCTTGTATATAACCAAGATGTTTCACAGTGCCTCCTTCAGTGCTTGGCAAAGCACTTTCATTTAATTTCAGCTAAAAGCAGGTGATTTTCCTAAGCATTGACATAAATGTTTCATGGCTTTTAAGACAAACTCATATTGCTAAAGCTACTTAGCAGCAGTAACTTATGGGCATAGTTATTGCTGTCACATCGACTGCAGTACAAAACTTAGATTACCAGCCCTTCTTGGATTGCTTAAATTTACAAAAATAAATAAACATGAAACATCAGTCACATGATGGAGACAGGGAACCCCCTGAGGAATAAATAATGTCTGCAGAAATGCTTTCAAAGGCTAACCTGAGGATCACCCTGGGCGTTGGGTATATATTTATTTTTTAATTATTTAATTTTCTATTTCAGATGAGGAAAATAATGTTTCTTCTCAACTTAAATCTGCGCAGGGTATAGTTCTGGAAAGTAGCACACTCATGGCAAATGTAACTTAAAATGGGAAAGTATTTTAAGTAGGCTCATTTTCTGCAAAGGAAATCATATAAAGACAATTCTGCTGTGTCCCAACGAGGGGCTCCTGCCGCCTGAGATATACAAAATGACTCTGCTTCTCCACCTGTCACTTGCTATCCAGTTGAGACACATAACTTTTAAATGACAAATGGGGTCTATCTCTAAAGTATGGGTGTCGGTGGCTCCTGGTATCTGGGCAGGAATCTCCTTTAGATCTTGCACACTGCAACCTACTCTCTAGTCTCTCCTACCCTCTCATATCAGAGAAAAGACCTTTGTTTTTTATTTCCAACTTCTTCTAAGGGCCAAACCATTTAGTACCTCGAAACTCTTACCCCTTCCCGCCCCCCCGCACTGTACGTAAGCATCACATATGTTCTTTCTACAAATTGGTATACAGGTGCCATTTAATCAGTTCAAATTTGGAAGCTACATCTTCAAGGGTCCGAGAGAGCTCACTCCCCCCGTAATCCCCCCACTTACATGTTTCTTATAAGACATACAGCTTAATCAATTAACAAACTAAACAGCTTATATACTGGCAATATATTACAGATGGGTTTATGTCAGAGTAATAGATCACATGAAATGAACCATGTGGTACCCCAGTGCATGATGTCTTGGCTGAGCCCTGAGGACACTGACAGTAGCATCTCTAAGTAAGTAGTGCTGTATAAATACAGACACATGCGGATCTGTATCTACATCCATCTGACTAGGCCATAAGGAGCAGGTAGATGCAAGATAGAGACACACACATGCTGATGGGGCCACTGCACACCTTGTCATGCCATTTGGAAGGGCAATTACAGGTTGCTGGTTTTGCAGCCATTAAAATTACACTTTATGGAAAAGGCTTCTCTAATTGGGTTTGATTGATTTACTTTCTGTGTAAGCATCGTTGGAAGAAGATCAAAGCAAGTGCAACTAGAAGTTAAATACACATTTGGCTGAGCTGCAATACAGAACTCTGGAGAAGAAGCAGGCTGAAAGATTTGTTTTAATTTTAGACTTAGACTTTTCTCCCTTGAGGTTTTCTTGTCACCGTGTGTCTGTGTGTGTGTGCGTGCATGTCTGCGTGTGTGTTCCATCACATCATCTCCTGAAGAACGCTGGGTTTCGCAGGCAGGCGGCTAGTCACCTGCAACAACCCAGGGGGCCTGCCGAGGCTTCCAAGCTGCTGTCAGTGTCGGATGCCAGGGTCTGGTCGGTGGACATGGAGGAGATGTCGTTGACTGACGAGGATGGAGGGAGACTCTCACTGCTGTTCACTGCTGCACCTGTGCTAAGAAAATGAAGACCCACATGACTAAATCTGGAACTAGACTCAAGTCAACATCGCTTGGAAGGCAGTCATAGGCAATTCAAGAGGTCTGTCTAGTCTAACATTCATTTGACAAGGTTTCCTAGAACAAGTCAGGGCACTATGGTAGTTGATGAAAATCAAGGCAAAAATGCAATGTCCCTGGAGCAAGTTATTCACAACTAGGGCAATAGTTACAAGTTCTTGCTCTATTTGAGATTCATCTGCCATATTCTTGAATAAACTGAAACCCACTTCAAACTCATCCATTCCCATACCTCCGATATCACTATATCTGGTACTGGGTGGAGTAAAGGCATTTTCATTTTAAAATGATCTTCAGAGACAACAGAATTAAGGGTTGAGGCCACATGGCTATGGAGAAGATAGGTGAGCAAAAGCCCTTTCATGCAATGACCTGAACCTACATGATTTAATGTAGGCAGCTTATAAGGCAAATCCAGGCAAGAGTTCTAGACCTGAGATGAAGCCCAGAAATTTGAATTACATGTAGACTATAGCTCTAGGGAAAAGAAGGTGTATTAAGTAAATGTTATTACATAGTCATTCATATGACATCACACTTCAAATACACATAGAAAAAGCAGGGCTTTCAATGAATGTTGCTTTTATTCATATATGTACTTTCCAGCAAGCTTACTTACCTGGGAATCTACAGATAAAAATCTGAATTGGTAACTTACATCAATTTTCAAAAAAATATTTTATTTATAAATGCAGGAACATGAAGATTTTGAAACTTTGAGGAAAAACTTGCTCAGTAATCACTCAGTAAACATTTACTGAATTACATTAACATTGAAAACTATGAAGGAAAGGTGAGTCAGAGATGCCATAACATCATTTAATAAAATCATGATACTACAGAAACAACTTAGGGTTTTTCTTATTAGAAATTCTTTACACTTAAATAATATGGGTAGTAAATGTATGCTTTATGAAACAGTTTGCTATCAGAAGTATCTTCTGAAGAATTATCTGGTAAGATAAAAGATTAATAATTCTCCTTAAAATTGTATCATATTTGAATCAATATAGTTTGCAAGATATATTTGGTGAAAAAGTAGTAAATCAAAAATAGATTACAATAGTATGACAGAGGTTGAATAAATCAGAAAAAAAGTCTAATGAAGTGAAAGGATTAGCACACTCTCCTTGTTACTGGGCGAAAAATTCTTGCCTGTAGAAAGAATGTGATAAAATTTTGGCAGTATCTGGAGAGGACCTACACACCTAGACTAGACATATGCATCCATGTGTATTTAAGTTTTTGATTTGTTGATGATATTTCTGTCAATTATGGGAAGATACAGAAAAAAAAAAGATAAAGCATTCACTAATCCTCAAGTAATAAAAAGAACTATAAAACTTCTGGTATTTTTTACTAGCTTAATATAATTATATTCTTTTATATCATGATATTTTCATATTCAAAGAATTTTAAAATCCTAAAAATATCAATGCCTTGTAAATGTCTCTAGAGAAATTTAACAAGAACTCTTGTTAAAATTTTCCTGTAAATGGGCCCTCCCTGGTGGTGCAGCGGGTTAAAGCACAGCACTGAGAAGCTAAAGCCACTTCGCATGAGTTCGATTCCCGCCTGCCCCGGAGGTGACCACATGGCGTGGCAGACTTCTCCTGACCCGCCCGCTGCTCCCCTCAGCAGTGTACTTCGTCGATCTGCCTGTTCTGCTCCCCACTCTGTCTCTGGTGAAGCCTCTCACCCTCCGCATCTCTGGCCTGTACCCAAGTTCTGTGTGAAAAAAATAAATCTTTAAAAAAAAAAATTTTCCTGTAAATGACTACTCTCACTGTAAGAATAAAGTGTGATGTTTAGTTAAGCGGGCTTCATTATTCCAATTTTACTTAATTATATCCTTTTAGACTTAGTACTAATTCAGTTAATTTCTTCTTGTGACATATCCTAGTGAACAACACTTGACTCCCTCACATGAACCAAATGTCCAGCTCTGTTTTTCCCTCTGATTCAAGATTAAATTATCCTAATATCTCATTTCTGTCATTAGTTTTGGTATTTAATAATTTGGTATCACTATGATGGATGGCTCAGAAGGTAAGTTTTCCACATCCTTACGAGAGGTTAAAGATTAAAACTGGACATAGGGCTTTCATAAAGCTAACACATCTGGCATGTTTTATTTCAACTACAGCAAAATAAATAGTTTGAAAGTTTTAAAAGTTTTATTGCAGTGCAAATCAAAAAGTATTTCAAAGTATACTACAATAGTCCTGGTCTTCTCTTGATAAACTTTTCCTCCTTTTTTGATTGGAGTTGATTATGTGGACTCCTCTAAATGGTGTGGTGAGAGCTGAGCACTGACTCAAGCAAGCATCAGATAAGACTTAGCAAAGAGAAGACTTTCTTAGGGAAACATAGCTTGATTTTTACAAGTAAAGGCAAACCCATAACAATGACATCTAGAGAAATTACACAAAGACAGAAAATTTCCTCAGAAAAAACTCTCACTCTATAAATAATGTTGAATGAAGGCAGAAAAATCAAAAGGGCTTTTAATAAACATTTCATATACAGGGGATTACAATGCAGGCTGTGCTTCTGAAATACCTAACAGTCCTTCAGCACTTATTTTTAATAATCAACATGTTTTCAACATATATTTGGAATATACTGAGTGTTGTGTATATAAGTTGGACACTTTTTACCTATAATTGTGTTACATGTATAACTTATACTTATGTTTTCATTAACTTTTAGATTATACTTCTTTATTTCTCCTGTCTTCAGTAAACTCTACTCTTAATCATAGAATAAGTACTTAATTTTTAAAATACCAAGTGTCTTTTTGTGTGTATTCTTCTAGGTAGGTTGTCTGAGGAAAGCAAATTTCTGCCCACTGTAGTGTTCAGACTACTAAACTGTTTTGGCAAATGGAAATATTTTGTCATAGTTGTCTTTCTTCCCCTTTTGTGTATCAGTTAGCTATTTACATTCCATTACTTCTGAGTTGTAATAATCCTGCCCTTTCTTTTCTCAATATTGGATGCAATTAAAAATAAATATTCATGGGCCCTCCTTGGCAGCCCAATGAGTTAAAGCATAGAACTAAGAAGCCAGCTGCAGCCGCCTTCAGGTGAGTTCAATCCCCGACCAGGGAGGTAACCCACATGGCGTGGCAGACCTCTCCTGTCTCATAGGCTTCTCTCCTCAGCAGTGTACTTTGTTGATTTGCCTGTTCTGCTCCCCGCTCTGTCTCTGGTGATTCCTCTCACCTCCACTGTATTTCTGGCCTGTACCCAAGTTCTGTAAGCATAAATGAATCTTTAAAAATAATAATAATAATTAATATTCACTTATTCAAAGTTCAGTGTGTTTATCATCTGTATTTCTAATGTTCCCTTGGTTATTGTGCTTGATTTTTTTATTTATTTATTTTTTAAAGATTTATGTATTTATTCGTACAGAACTGGGGTACAGGCCAGAGATGTGGAGGGTGAGAGGATTCACCAGAGACAGAGTGGGGTACAGAACAGGCAGATCGACAAAGTACACTGCTGAGGGGAGCAGCGGGCGGGTCAGGAGAGGTCTGCCGCGCCATGTGGATCTCCTCCGGGGCAGGCGGGGAATGGAACTCATGCGGATGTGGCTTAGGCTTCTTTGCGCTGTGCTTTAACCCGCTGTGCCACCAGGGAGGGCCCTGATTTTTTTATTTTTAAGATTTATTTATTTATGCATAAAGAACTGGGGTACAGGTCAGAGGTGCAGGGCAGTGAGAGGATTTACCAGAGACAAAGTGGGGAGTAAAACAGGCTGACTGATGAGGTACATTGCTGAGGGGAACAGTGGGTGGGTCAGGAGAGTTCTGCCACGCCATGTGGATCATCTCTGGGCTGGAGCTCGAACTCATGCTGAAGTGCCTTTAGCTTCTTAGTGTTGTACCTTAACTAGCTGCGCCACCAGGGAGGTCCCGCTCTTGAATTTTCCCAGTGCTTCCTCTGTGTATTGTTTGGAAGAGTTTCTCTCTTCCAATCAAAACATAGACAGAAAAGTTAAATAAACACTTCTCTAACTAAAACATGTAGATGGCCCACAGGCATCTACGATATATATATTCACCTCACATCTGAGAATAGTCAAAACAAACAAAAACAGTTGTTGATAAAGACTTGGAGGAAAAGGAATATACATATACTGCAGGAATGTAGATGTGCCCAAACATTATGGAAAAGAGAATGTATATTCTTCAAGATAATGAAAATAATTGGCAATATGATCTAGAAGCCACACCTCTAGGAAAAATCTAAAAACATTCATTTGGAGGGCTATATGTACCCCTATGTACATTGCAATATTTATAATATCCACACTATGGAAACAACTCAAGTGCCCAACATCAGATGAGAGCATTTGGAAGATGTGGTATATCTATACAAAGGAATATTAGTCAGCTGTAAAAATGGAAAACAAAACAAAACTGAAATCTTTCCCTTTGAGACAACATGGATGAACCTAAAGTGATTCTGCTACGTAAAGTAACTCAGAAAGATAAAGACAATTACAAGATGATTGCACTCATATGTGAAACTAAACCAAATAAACCCTGGAAATCTGACTGCAGAATTGAAGCTAGTAGAGTGGGAGGATATTGGTTGGCAGAAATGGGAAAGAAGTCCTAATGGAATATGTGGAGGATTATGGGTGTTTAGGTGGTGTGTATGGTATTGTAACATAGAATTGAGTAAGTATGAACCTATACCCTAAATCATATATAGTGTTTTCAACCAATGTTACCTCAATAAAAAGTAATGCAATAAAAAAAGTAAGATGGCAGTGCCCCATTATTTCATTCAAAATCTTTGTTTGTATGACTTCTAAGTAGTTTCTTGACTACAGTCTTTTCTGGCTCTACCAGATGATCCTTTCAAATCTGTTCTTATGTAGGCAATAAAAAAGCTTTATAAGTCATAAAACCAAAGAAAAATAGAAGGGTCAGGTGGTTAATTTACAGCCAAAGAATTTGTGAAAATGTTAAATAGGATTGAATTCAGTTGAATTTGATTTTAATATTCACTTGTACTTGGTATATCCTATTATGTGATTAGAAATATCCCGTCCTTCTGTATTACATTCCAAAAAATGCAATAGACCTGTGCATTTTAAGAAAACTTTTTGCCACTAATAAAGCATTACAAAGTTATCAATAAAAATGTCATTAAAATTTACAGGAAAAAACTGAGTTTCAGTTAAATTATATTAGCTACTATCAAATTTACTTGAAAAAAAAATAAGGTTGTGGAAAGAAGTTACCTACACAAATGAAAAATTGGCCAAATGATATTCATTATTTCAGGGGAATATGTTGTTCTAATTTTTAAGAGGAAATTACTTTATCTTCCTCCCCACAAAAGGTAAATATACAAAATTATTAGATATATAAGAATGGAAAAAAATCACTGAGAAATACTTCCTTTCTGTTTGATCTTGTAGCTCAACATGTTTGGAGCTGGGGTTTTTAATAAAAAAGCAAATAACATCAATGAACTCTAGATCAGTGATTTAGTTGCGACACCAAACTTATACAGTGTGAAAAATATGATGTGAGAAAGGTTGTAGAGTAAAATCACTTTGGAAGCTTTATCTTCTACTCAGAGCTTCTGAAAAATCTTTATCTGCTCTGATACTAACCATCAGTACCTTGGCAAGTCTTTGTCACTTATGTCAGCATTACTTCACAGGTGGAATGTGGGGTGCAGCTGTAACAGACTGAGAAATTGTGGATAAAAGGATCTCCTATATTTGTTCTAGCTCTAAAATTCTATAACCACTGCTTTTGCAAGAAAATTAATTTCTATTCATGGACTGCTATTCCCTCAGCAGTCTTTACAAATCAATTCAGAAAGCAAACAGCACACTATAGTTGAAAACAAATCACTGTGCAAGTGAAATCAGATAGCAAAAGCAAGTACAATTACTTATTTGGAAATGCATCTCAAGTCTAGATTCATTTCTTATTGATAAACAAAAATTCCATCAATAAATTTCAAATCCGCATATTATTCTGCAAATGCACATCTAGCTTCCTATTTACATTTTAAAAACATCACTAAAACATGGTCTTAAGTGTTGAGACCATTTTGTCACTGAGAAGCTGCATTAACTTATTTTTTTCCCTTGCTGCAGGGTGCCCACTGTTGCTGTGTTGGAATATTAGGAGAGTCTATATTGTAATATTATTTCATCCCTAACTCGGTAAAATAAAATGATATGCAAACATTAATGAGAATGGGGAATATGAGAAAGAATATAAGAAGCTCAGCCTTCTTAGTGATTTCTTTCTCTTTCAAACATTTTATTGCATATACACACATTAATGTACACTCTGCATATGTACACACTCATGCATACATGCCCCCTCACATACACACGATATGCCAATAAAAATTTTACAAATGAGCCTCACAGAGGGAGAAGAATGCCCTGATTTGTGGAGTCAGCCAATTCCATGTCTTAAGTCTTCCATGGCAGATTCCAGGTCACCAATTTGAGGTAATAAATTTTTGTTTAAGAGAGAAATGCACAGTTAGCACTGAGCTGACAGAGTCAGTTTTAGCACATGGCAGTTCTGTGCCTCTAGATGATGTATACTAAGATAACAACATATCTATGTCCTACATAATCTATGTTCTCAAGTCTAGAATATTCCCCTTTAAAATTGTGTAATGAAAAAAAAATCATGTAGTGAAAGACTGATTCCATAATCACTTTTCTATAAATTGATTGAATGACTCAATTCTAGATTTAGGTATGTGTATAAGGTAAATAATTTGTGATGGTTACATGTTGTTGGAAGGTTTAAGGAATGGTTTGGTCTTCTTACATGTAGGTGGGGCCTCCCTGGCATATCTTTAACATGTTAATCCCTGTGAATCATTAACATGTTATGCAGCCTAAAAAAAAAAATAGGAATACATTCCCCCAAAATAATAAGTCAAATAATCACCTGAAAGCAGAAAGTCTTTATCTGAAGCTTGAACAAATGCCAATAGCAACAACTCATGTACTTAAAACTTGGCTCATTTATCTTCACAATTAACAGGGCAAATGAATATTTACTGGCATGAGAACATACTGAATTATATATTATATTGAAGTTATGTTTCCCTCTTGATATCAGTCTTTACAAAAACAACAAGCAATGTTTTCAGGGAGGATCTCATTAGCAAACTTCAAGTTAATAAACATGTATCAAGATACTACTACTTATAAGGTTCAGCACTTAGGCACACATAGAACTTTCTTCCCAATGAACATGTAACCAATAAGCAGTAATAAAACAAGAGGTGAATATTTAAATGCAGGGAGCAGCAGTACCCATAGGCAGGAAATATCCTATTCTTTGGGACAATATGAAAACCTTTTAGAAAGATATGAAAATTATCCTTAAAAAAAAAAAAATACCACCTGGTGGTGGTGGTATTTGATAAGGCAATATTTGCAACCCAACAGGTCATGTAAGAATGTGGTAATTTAGAACCCAAAATGGGGCACAGTGTAAAGGAGAAAACTTGGTGTGTAACAAGAGGCCTATTTACATTGGGAAGAGGTTACTGTGCTTAAATTATTAGTGATACAAAGCCATGGGGTAAGCACTGATCAGTAGGATCTGAAAGATCACTCTATAGACTGGTTAGGAAGATTACAACATGGAAACTTAACTCATGGTGGTATTAATGAAAAGAATTGCAGCAATTAGACGTAAGTCCACTGACAAGTAAACTTTTTAGGATATAGAAAGTGACGGTCATCAATAATATAAGTATGGAATTAAGACCAATCACAGGTTTCAGGATGAGAGCAGAAGAAATAAAGCTGTCACTAGTAGAAATGGAAATATATGAAATTGGTAGCAATCTCAGTTCTGGTCCAGCATCCTGTTTTCTCTAAGACTAGGTTATATTCATCATTTCATCATTCCATAATAACAAATTACTATTCAAACTAGCCTTTGGCTATATTTAACTTAATTTTTTTTTTTTGGTGAAAGCTTTGTAGATCTGCAACTCACATATCCCAAAATTCATCCATTTAAAATGCATAATTCAGAAGTTTTCATTATATTCACAAATATGTGTCAATTTTAGAATATTTTCATTCTAACCGAAAGAAGCCATTTAACTTCAGCTACCCCCTTGCCCCACCTTCTAAGCCTATACAATAACTACCCTAATTTCTCTCTATTCTGGACACTTCATAGAGATGGAATCATATAACAGGTGATCTGGTTACTTTCATTGAACATAATGCTTCCAGGCACATCTATGTTGTATATATTAGTACTACATTCCTTTTTTCTTGTATTATCTTATTGATATATTGCTTTCTTGATAGTTTATATATGAATGAATTATCTAGTAATTTTCTTTCTCCTTCTAAGTTATTTCATTTAGCCTGGTCACCTTTAGTTAATTTTTCTTGGTACACCTGTATATGTGTGTGTGCATAGGTACACATGCAGGAAGGTACGTGTCTATGTGTATATGCAGTAAACTAAATTTTAAAAGGAAAGCAAACACGAAGAAGGCTTGAAACTTAGCCTTCTATATTCTATATCATAGTCACTTTTTCTCATTAATTTTGCATATCATTTTAGTTTGCAGATAGTTAGGGATGAATTAATATTACAATATAGACTCTCCTAATATTCCATCACAGCAACAATGCATCAAGGGAATAAAATAAGTTAATGCAGCTTCTCAGTGACAAAATGGTCCTGACATCCAAACCCATGTTTTAGTGATGCTTCTAAAATGTAAATAGGAAGCTAAATGTATATTCGCAGAATAATATGTGGATTTGAAATTTATTGATGGAATTTTGTATACCAAGAAGCAATGAATCTGGACTTAAGTAATTGTACTCACTTCTGCTATCAGATTTTACTTGCACAGGAATTTGTTTTCAACTATAGAGTGCTGTTTGCTTTCTGAATTGATTTTTAGAGACTGCTGAGGGAATAGCAGTCCATGAATAGAAATTAATTTTCTTGCAAAAGCAGTGGTTATAGAATGTTAGAGCTAGAGCAAATATAAAAGATCCTCTTATCCACAGTTTCTCAGTCTGTTCTCCCCACATACCACCTATGAAATAAAGCTACCATAAGAGACAAAGATCCGTCAAGATAAGGAAGCTTAGTATCAGGATGGGCAACAACTTTTCATCCTTTTTATAGCTGAATAGTATTCCATGTGTAGATATACCACATGTTCTTAATCTACTCATCTTTTTTTGGACACTTAAGTTGTCTGTATGACTTAGTTATAGTAAATAATGCTGCATTAAACACAGAGTATATATCCCTTTGAATGAATGTTTTTGCATTTTTTGGTAATTACCTAGGAATGGCATTGCTAGATCAGATGCCTGACCTATGTTGTTTTTTGTTTTTGTTTTTGTTTTTGTTTTTGTTTTTTTAATTTGGCATTTTTTAGTTGGTTCATTTGCTTTGTGGTTTTGACTTGCATTTCTCTGATGGTAAGTGACAGTGGGCATTTTTCCATTTGTATGTCTTCTTTAGAGAAGACATACGTTGGCCATTTGTATGTCTTATTTAGAGAAGAGTCTGTTTAACTCTTTTGTCCATATTTTGACTGAATTGGTTCTATTTTATTAGCTATAAGCCTTCCTCAAAACAATAACATAACAATAAAATGCACAGGTACCAATTTATTAGTTATTCACTGAGAGTGAGTACCTGAAGGAGAAGGTTGTCCTTTTACTACACCATTTTTAGTCTTTTCTTCTGAATTCATTACTTCTTTGTAGATAAGTTCTGCAAGAGAATTATCAGAATTTTTATTATAAAAAAAACACAAATTTATCTTTAATCCACACAGAAGGTGCATTAGTTCGTGACAAATAACATTTTAATGGGGTTGAGTTAAATTGATTCAAAAGCAATTGAGATTCCTTTATTCCTCTATGTTTTTTTTGCATTAGTACATAACTTGGCAAAAGTTCTGTAAAGCATCTGACTAAATATTTGGAGAATACACTTATGCATTTAAATTTTTTTGCTGATTTTTGGTACATTTTAATTTTTTCTCTGGAATACTTTAATCTTTTAGTTTTGAAAATCCATTTTATATTCATTTCCTAAATCACATACATATGCTCCTTATTTTAAAATATTACAAATCCTTAACAGATTTCCATCTGGTTTTCAGACCCAAAATTCGTATTTGTCAAAATAAACTAGCCATAAACCCAGCACTAAAAAAAAAAATCAAACATTCTTGTTTTGCAAAGACTTATAGTTTATGTAACTATCATTCTTTGCTGGCATTTTTTCCTCCAGTTTCTTACACCTTAGCCCATCTTCTCAAATTATGCTTATGTTCTATCACTTATTTACTCTACTAACCTGTAAGAGTAGCTGCTTTCCTTTCTACTTTTTCTATAATTCAACATCTTTAATTTTTTTACATGATTTACTAGCTAGATTCTCCAATATGTTTCTGAGGCCAGTGTGATCTTTACTATTTTAAGATACTATTTGCTTCTTCCTATCCTTTATTTCTTCATTGTCTCCTAACTGGTATGTCTCTTTAGTTTTATTCTCCCAAATAACTATTATCAGTTATTTCAAGGCAGTTCTATTGTTTCATCCCTTTAACTTTTTCCTTTTATGTTCTTGCTCATTCTGACTTTGCTATGACCTCTACTTTGTTTTCTCATATATGTCTTATTCAACAGTGATTTATATTACTTGAATTCTTTACAAGTTTGATATGCTTTTATTGGAAAAGTTTGTTGAAAATACATATTAATTTCTTTCCTATTTTAAAGGGGAAATAAGCCACTTAGGTATATAAATTTTCTAACAAATTCACAATTCCTACAAATTCAGTGAATGAATTCATATAACTACATTTTTATTTCTAATGTCTAAATCATCATTTTAATTTTATCTGGTGTGTTATAAATTTATATAAAAACATGGAGTGTTTAACTTTGAAATTTTAAATGAAAGTTTGTCCTTTACTGTGACAATACTTTGACAATCAGCAGTATTTTAAAAGACTTTAGTAATTAATTCTTTTTATTCTTGAGTAAATATAAAATTGTTGTTAGTATGAAAGATAGATGAAGTTTTAGGAGTTCTGAAATAGTCTAAGAGTATAGCAATTAGAAAATCACCTGCTATTGCTTTATTTTCATATTTTTTGTGGTCGTAACATTCTAAATTAAGAATGTTTATTTTGTTTGATTTATTGTGAGTGGGATAGAATACAGTAATCAAAACAAGTGTATATAACTTACTAGATTTTTTTATAAATAATTTTCAACTATATAAAGCAAAATTAAATTGGCAATGAATCCCTCAGTGGATTTTTCCAAGGAATTTAATGCATCTGTTTTAGAAGATTTTAAATAGAAGAGCCCTGAGGATAATTCTGAGTTTCAACAACAAAAAAAATTTTTATTTAAGAAGTCACCTTTCCATTCTTCAATGGTGTGTTCTCGTTCATCCAACTGTTTGTCATATATCTGAGGTGGAGGCTGCAGAATAAAAACAAATAATTAACCTTGTAGAGCGACCTGAACAGAATCAAACTTTTGTAGTGCATAAGAGTATAACATGCTTCATTTATTTTGGTCATGATCAAAACTGTATATAAATTATGAATAATCATACTGGTATAGATTTTAAAATTGCCCCTGAAACTTATGGAAGATTTGTTCATATGCCACTATTTTCTACTGACAAGATAAGGTAGCAGAACCCAAATCTGTGAGCTCACTTCTCAGAGCTGTCTAAGAAACTAATAGTCATTCTTTATTATGCTTAATTTTTTAATTAATTAATTTATTTTTCATTGAGGAAATTTTGAGCTAGCCCCACCAGGCATCACCACTGGAGTATACCCACTGCCAACTCACTTATATTCCACCACCCTAGACCATTGTGTTCCCTTCCTCCTTTGTTATTATCTTTCCCCTCGACCTGCCCTAACTTGGTGCTTCAGTTCTGTAGGCAGCTAAAGGGCTTATTTTAAGCTTGTCTTTATCTGACTATTAGTTTAGTTACTTTATAGTCCACATATTAGTGACACCATCTGGTATGTATCATTCTCCTTCTAGTTTATTTCGCTTAGCACTCTCTATTCATGCTCCATCCAGCAAATGAGTTTATGTTTGTTGATTGCTGAGCAGTATCCTGTTGTGTATATATGCCAAATCTTCATCTACAGCACTTAGGTTGTGCATCAGATTTAACTATACTAAGTAGTGTTGCAAAAACCCTAGGAGTGCAAGTTTCTTTTCAAATTAGTGTCTTTGAATTTTTCTACTAGATGCCTAGGAGTGGAGTTACTGGATCAAATGACTGATCCTTGTTTAATATTTTGAGACCCCCCCCTCCTTACTGCTTCTGGTAAGGACTGGACCAGTTTACATTTGCACAAGCAGTATGGAAGAGTTCCCTTTTCTGCACATCCTCACCAACTCTTGTTTCTGGTCTTTTGGGTATGTGCCATTCTTACAAGTGCTAACTGGTATCTCATTATGGTCTTGATTTGCATTTCTCCAATAATAAGTGATAATGACCATTTTTTCATGTGCTTGTGGGCTGTTTGAATGTAACTAAAGTGAAAAGACACCCTACTAATGGAAGAAAATGCACATCATACATCTTACAAAAGACTGACATCAATGATATACTGAGAACTCATAAAACTGTATAACAACAACAAAGTCCAATAAAACATGGGCAAAGGAACTAAACAGACACTTCACCACAACACTCAGCCTTTCAAAAGCAAGAACACTTGACTGAGAGAACCCAAAGGCTGCTATTTCCTCTATTCATTTGCTATGTGACAGAAACCACTAAAGCTACTTTAGACTGGAAAAGCTTTTCAACTTTTACATCCTCACTAAAATAGAGTCTTTAATAATTCTCAATAGAATAGTCCACAATCCACAGGAATACTTAAATCAAATAAACTTTTCTTTTCTTTGAAGTATCATAATCCAGAGAGAGAGATAGATGAATCTTAACATGATTTAGTAATTTTCCACCCTCAGGGAGAAGAAACTGTCAATTGTCTTTGGAAGCAGGTGACCTTGAATCCAAGTGGCTTGGGCTTTTCTCTGGGAGAAAAGATATGATAGGACCTTCATTCTGACTT